TGTGTTTTCGCGAACCTAAATAGCGAGTACCGGGAAAAATGAGCTCCTCCTGGCCTCTGAAACAAGCTTTTTCATTTAAGCTGCCCAATTCTTCAGAACGACTTATCCCGTAGTTTCCACCCCTCAGAAAGATTCTCAACAGCGCAGACCCCCTCCGGTCAGTTCTTGTGACTGAGAGAGGCGATTTGATTGTGGCCTTCCTCCGTCACATTGTGTCAGATTGCATCCGAAAGGTTCGGCTCGTTATATGTAAAAGGTTGCAACTATGTATTATTTAATACGCTTATTTCCGAACGCGTCACGTGCTCTAATATGACTTCTTTTGATGTAGAATTAGGGACGCTTGCATGCACATTTTTGGCCTTAAATTGTTGTGTTTCAGCGGGCAATTCTGGACAACAAAGCAAGGAATGTGGTGTTTTTCCACCCATAAAAAATGTCCAAAAATGAGCTCCTCTGGCTCTGAAAACAAGCTTCAAACTTGCCTATTTCTCTCACTTTTCTTTTTTGTTCATGCAACCGACACCTATCTATTTTCTCACTCGTCTTGTCAGTAACTATAATTCGAATGTTCGGACCTTCGGTCGGCTCGATTAATGTCGTTCGCAAGTGCTGGTTGGCGAGCCGGCGCCGGGCCAACATGTTCACTTGCTGCCTGATATCATCAAGTCGTATATATATAAATACTATGATATAAAGTACGTATATATATATATACACACACACATATATAGATACATATCCCATCAGTCCACAAGTAACTGGTCAGACACAGGAGTACTTTCTGTGCAACTCCATTCCACCAAAATCTACCACAGAGCGCCAAGGAAGTCATTCCTGCCTGTGTTCATCAAACTCTACAACTCCTCCCTCAGAGAGTCAGACATTCATTAAAACTTGAAATGTTACTGTAGTTAATGTGCAATAATCTTATTCATTACTCAGTACACTTGTCTGCCATATACTGTAGCATGCATATATTCTTCCATATACTATCATATATTGTATTATAAATATCCATTAACAAATTATTTTCTTTATGATGTATATTGCAAGAAACGTTTCTTGTTATTACGTGATAAGTCCGTGTGTCGTAACACATGTACGTCAAAACATGAAAAACATCTTGCTATAACAAAAAAAACTTGTCACTTTATAACGTGATACTAATCCGTTTTTTCTTTTTCTAGTGTGGGAGCCATATTGGTAGTTATCAATTAGTATTAGCACAGACGTAAGGGCGCTAGTAAACAGCACAAACTAAAGTACCATAAAACTTTAATTAAACGTTACTGAAACAAGTTGTAGTGCTTTACAATAATCCACGGTATGCAAGTTTTGAAGTCAAGTAAAGTAACCTAACTAACGTTACATATAATATGTGGTATTTATAGATTGGCGCGCATAACCACCCGCTCAACCCTCCCGGTCCAGTTACATTTAAACAAATATAAGGACATGCCATAGCAAGTATTATAGACGTCAACAAAGTTGTTAACTAAGTGACTTTATATGTCATATATGTTCATAAATTAGAGCATTTCCCCGTCAAATCAATATTTGAGCAAATAGTCAGTTTACACGTTTTAATGGCCAACTGCCATTATTAACTGTAAGTAACGCGTCATCTTTAATCATTAGTATTGCTATGAAATTATCTGTATCGATTCCTTAACGACATGTGGACAAGTATTTCAGCTTGATCCTGTGTGGCCGGTCTACGGATGGGCGCAAACAGTTAAAGCTGGACTCACCTCTCTAGTAGTCACCTCTTCTTTCTCAGACACTTTGACCATCAGCCGGTCATTTTCCAGTTCCAATGCCCGGACACGGTCGATATACACCGCGAGCCTATCGTTCAGGTGCTGCAAATCTTGTTTCTCTTGTAAGCGAGAGATCCGGGTCGGTGAAAGAGGTGTAGAGGCCGCCGACCGGCCAGCTTCACGACTTGGGGTAGCAGTCGCCATAACGGTTCTTTCAACAAACCCGAGTTTGCTTCACCACTCAGTGAGCAATATAAAACAAACCTATCTGCTGTCGTCGTTAAATGAGGATGCAAACACTGATTTAGCTTTTTAATTGAAGATGTGATGTCAATCAATGAGCAGTAAGCTCAAGCAATGTCTCAGCGTTGCCTGAAACAGTGATGTGATTCCAAGATGGCCGACGCCGCTAACAGGACCCAGGACCGCGCCAAAAGCTGAGAATGCTTCCTGTCTCGCAATGGATGATGGGTGTATGGGACAGAGAGAGGGAATAGACATATACTGCCTTCAAGTGGTATTCTTACGACGGAGTATTCGGGCCATACTAGGAGAAAACAATATATATATTTTTTTGGAAATTATAATAAAGTCAGAATATCAGGTCTACGAGAATAAAATCGTAATATTATGAGAATAAAGTGATAATATTGCGAGCATGTTGGCTCAGCCAGCAAAACGGTTTAAGGACGAAAGGCTGCAGTTTGGTTGAGCTGGTCACGTGAGATCTTGATAACTCAATCGAAGCTTTTTTCTCATTAAA